TTCCATGAAACCAGCTCTAAATATGCCTCCAGGGGAAAGGGGTTCTCAAACCTCTTGGCAATGCTCCGACCATGCTCCCTTTCAAGCGGTTTGGGACTGTGACTAGCTCTTGCGATGCAAGGCGGGGCCGGCTTGAAGTGGGCGTGGCTCAAAGTTGCGCCAGGGTTACGCAGGTGGTCTTTGTTTCCATTTACCTCTGCTTCCCTAGGGGCCATTCTGTGTTGTTTTTTGAGCCACAGCCAAGTGAATCTCAAGAAGATTAAAAAAAAAAACTGTGTGACCTAAGTACACCTCTCCCAGCTGCTCTCAGCTGAAACATGACCGCAAAAAACCTCTGCATGCGTTTTACTTCTGCTCCAAAAGGCCCATCGATGCTCATCCATGCCGGGCTGCTCGGGTTCCTATGTCATCCCACCTGGAAACTCGGATTCGGAAGGAAGTCGTCGCTGAGTTCAACATGGCAGCAGCCGATTTTTCTTTTGGACACGTGACTCCCCGTCTTTCGGCATTGAAGCGAGACCCTGTGGCCCTCAGCAATACAAGTAACTGCTTAATTTGGGCACTAGTGTATCTTAAAGTAGGGGAGCCCAATTTCAGGGTGATTCTTATGGTTTCCCTTTTGGAACCACTCAAAAAGGGGGGCCTCCCAGTCGATTTCCATGGGGAATAGAATCTGCATTCTTTTTTGGTTGGTTGAGTTTAAAGGGGAACCCTTCCCGAAAAAACGAAAAAGGGCGCAACTGGGAAACTGGGATCCTGGAAACGCCCCAAACGTCTATGTTTGAATGATTGACACAGGGTACCTCCTTTGGGACAAATACGTGGCTAGAACAAGTGAAAGCAGACTGAAAGCAGACCTATTGAATCTCTTCCCAAGGTTCCTCTAAACCAAAACCACCACAGCAGAAGTCAACTGCCACGTAAACTCCAGATTCAGATCAAGCCTGACCCACCCTCGCCTCCAAAGAATCTTTTTTGCAAAAAGGACCCCCCCTTTGTTGGGAGCTTCTCAAGCTTTTCTTTTGCGGAGGGCAATTGTTGGACCATCCATCCCCTTGTCAGGGTTCCATGTTCTGAGCGACAGTACCCGGTCGCATGGCAACCAGCCGCCCTTCCAGGGAGGTGGAAAGCTTCAGGTGTCAAAGTCATGTGCCCATGGGTCAAAACCCAAATCGTACCCCCAAGGGAACATCCCAATCCCCACTCAAATAGACTAAACTGGGTGGTGCACCTCCCCCAAAATGGTACCATTTGTTTTGACCCACAGACATGTGCTCTTGTGGCTTGGGGAAGTGGGCAAACATGGGCTCTTTGAAGCAGCTAGAACATCTTCCAGGCTGTCAGATTGGTCCTGGTAATGGCGTTTTCATGGTTATTCATCACCTCTCACTTCCTGAATGGATGGCCACGGCAAGTTTGAACTTATTGCTTACCACTAAACCGGTCTTCACGTGTCTTTTCACGGTTCTATTGCTTGGTTACCAAGGAACTAAACCCAGTGGGTCATGTACTCCTAACAGGTGAAGCCCTGAGTTTTATTAGCGTTGGTGGGCAACTAAAAGAACCCCAGGCCCAACCATCTTTACGGGGGGTTGTCAAAAGGAACTCTTGTAGTATCTCATAAGGCGGCACCAGGGTTCAAAACTGTTGCTTTTTTCCCCGCAAGGGTCCTTTTCCTTTGTGCTGTTAAAGGTGTACCAAGAGAAACCCCACCAATTGTTGGGTCCCTCAACAAAGACAAGGCCAAACAGGTTCTTTCCTTTGACTATTGACAAGTCGCCCCATGGTTGTTCAGCATCTAGTTCTGGTCACGCTTTTTCACGATGAGCATCAACCGGGCAGTCGCGAGCGCCAGCATTCGCCGCGGTTTCCTCTCTCTTTGGCCGCCAAGGTAAACATCGGAATCTGGATGAAGCTCCAACGTAGCGGCTGTAGCGGTCTTCAGGTATGCGAGAGATTCTTCACATAAAGATACAGGTTCCCTCAGATTCATTCGATAACCAGCCCGGGAAAAAGGTTCCCTTTCAAGGAAGGCTTCAATGAGCTCCGCCCGTAGTAGGCTGATGAATCAGGTGCTCCTTTGAGACTCTGGGGTAAGGAGACCAAACAAATCTGGGTGGCTCGTCTGTTTTGGCCTTGGCTTGCGCCTTTTCTTCTGATGTTCTAATGGGACACCAAGAGGAAAGCCACCGTTTTATGCGGGGTCCAAATCCAAAAACAACACGCTCATGTCTATCTTGTATCATCTTTGGCCCGGATCTCTCACAATCCGATGAGCTGTATCAATGGCCATTCCCCCCTGTGGACAAAAACCCCGTTTGCCATGATCAATCAGCTTCCCTCTTTTTCTTTGTTTGGGGGTGGTTTTGAGGTGTTGCATCCAAACCAACAACTAGGGTAACCTACTTCAGGGCTTGCTTTCCTTTGCGACCTCGGCCGATCTTTGGACGTCGACTCTCATGTAGGAATTCCAGGTTCTGAATTTGGTGCTTTCTCGTTTTGGTTGGAAGCTTCTTTGGGGTTCACTGGACACAGCCATGCCAAAGTCAGCCCCGGCGCGGCTTTGCCAACTGCGCGCCTCGACCCGCGATTCCACAGAGTTGAAGGCTTGTGTGCAAAAGATGCATCTTCTGGAATCTAAAGAGGTGGCGATGTATTCTAAGTTGTTGCTACGGACCAAATGGGCATTTTGTCTATCGCAGCAGAAGTACTGTGCTTTGCTTTGGTCCTTGGTCTCCAACACCGAGGCAGGCATGTTGACCCTTCTAACATGCCCCGGTGGGAATGAGCAAGAAAGCTGAGCCGGTTGATGCAAATTGAAGGAACACACACACACACACACCAACCGCAGTTCGCTGATTGATTGGCCCAAACCAGTCTTAAACTTTTGTTAGCAACATGATGTGAACAGGTCACGGTTCGTACGCCTTGTCAACCCTTGCGCAAATGTTGAGGCAAGGCCTTGGGAGCTGTTCACAGAAGCCAGCTACAGAAATTTCTACCGCAAATTGGCCCATCCACGAAACAAGTGGGCGCGACCCTTTTTGAGGGTTACCTGTGTTTTGTGGTTTAAAGGAAAGCCAACAGGATAACCACCATACTGGGTTCCGATTGCTCAAAAGAAGACACACCCAAGTTGATTTCCTGTAGCTGGTATATCAGAACTTTCGGATTGGTCGGGGGTGCCCTGGGGGCGCCGCAAAAGGCTTGGTTTTGGTCTTGGTCTCGTCGTGGTTTCGCTTGAAGCCGCCCATCCAGCATCCCGATTTGCACGCAAGTGGCCACTGGCAAGCGCCATGGCAGGAGTTGCATTGACTCAAACAATCGTAGGACAGCTGGAGCAATCCCGAAATCTGGAAGCCCACCAAAGAAGCACGGCTGCGGAGAAAAAGTACACCCACGTGGGCCATCCGTACAACTAACTCATTCTAGCGGGGATTCCCTTCGTATCACTGAAAGTGCCTTAACTCAGAGTTTCAGCTCAGCTTGCTGGAGGATGAGGGAATAAACTCCACTTCCAAGCATTCCCTATCCAATTTGTGGTACTTGGCGAGCCATTGAACCCACATTCCCTCCTGATGCAAAATGACAAGCTCATATCATACATGCATACATACCATGCCATGCCATACCATACCATACCATACCATGCCATACCATACCACGCCGTGCCATGCCATGCCATACCATAACCATACCATACCATACCATGCCATACCATACCATACCATTACCATACCATTACCGTACCATACCGTACCTTGCATACATACATATATGTATATATATATATATACACAATAGTATGCTTATCATACATAAGCTTCCGATTTCGGGAAGTCACAGACTCACGCGCTCTCTCATGGAGCCCGTCAGACAGGACGCAGGCTACGCAGGCTACGCAGGCTGTGCAAGCTCACGTCGTGACCTGGCGAGCAAATCAGCTTCCTTCTCATTCGCGGACTGCTTGGTACCTTCTGCTGGCTTTCCGGGTCAAAGGATCAACAAAAAGTCGGATGCTGAGAAGGTACCAAGGGACCCTCGCCATCCAAGCGGCTTCTGGGAAACTTGAGCAGCATGTCTAAGACACCAACAGAGCACAGTGCCTGTTGTTTTTTGTGGTTTTTGCTCTTTCCTTTTTTTAACTGAATATCGAATTTGGTTCTAATCAGTTGGGCCCTTCTGGTACTCAGAACAGGAAATGTGAACCCCTTGTGAATGGCTTTGGAGGGCAACTCAGAAATCGGCCATCCTCCGCTGCCCTTTGGGAAATCAAAACAAACAGTTACGCAGCATCCTCCATGATTATTCAGGCGAAGTCTTTTCTTGACAGCTTGCCCGCGGAAGCAATGGACAAAGCTGAAGTAAAATGAGAAATGTTCTGGCTACTCACGGTGGGCACTCTTTTCGAGGTAGGGCAAGAGGGGACCACGACTTTGAGGGAGCACACATGGGGACATCATGTCAAGGGCAGAATTCTAGGGGGCCACTTCGGATCACACACATTTCGAGGAACGCCCATGTGAGTTTGAGTTTTGTCTGGTTGGGCAAATTGTTCCGTCTCACCCGACACCACCAAGAAAGGAACCTTCGCTTCCTGTGACGCCACACTCTGACTGGTGGTGTGCTATAATTCGCCCCCGTTGAACGAAGCCTGGGCTGAACTTTCGGAACCGCCCAAGTTGTCCGCAATGTTTAGGACGGGTGTTCAGCGCACGTGACATGAAGGGAACCCCTAAAAAAAAAAAACTTGATGGAACCCTTTGCTTCTAAAGCGCTGGTGGTTCCACGCTAGATCCATTGAAAAAGCAATTGGGCGTTGCAACGCCCAATGTTCAGCCGTCGAACTCCCTGCGCCGGCAAAATGATGGTTTCCTTTTCTTTTGGCTTCCCTTTAAGGCCACCCAAACAGGGGGTATCCCAACAAAAACGCACCCCCACATCTAAAAGCTTGGTCACGACAAAAAAAGCAAGCATACCTGATTCGAGCCCGACTGCGCCTACACATTGAACTGCGCCCGGCAGCCTGCAGCCAGCTGGGAACACAAAGCTTGACCAAACGTTGGTCACCTCCAAAGCAAATCTCACTTCGTTTGGTCAAGTGGCGTACTACCCCATAGCACCAAACTCTTTCTTTGCCGGTGATGGGTCTAAGGAAACAAAGGGCGTATAAAGGAAAGCCAGAATCACTCTAGGACAGGTCCATGCTGAGTCTGACCCTGCGAGAAAACCGGAAGCAGCTGAAAGAATAATCCTGGGATGTCTGAAAATAGGCAAAGGACACTTGCCAAACATGTCAACCACAAAGAAACGATCATAAAGCCACTTGCTTCGGATAGGTCCAGCTCAGTTTGACGCATGGCCGGGCATGGCCGTGTTCGCCTTGCTTCGAGATGCATGCCAGTCCGTTGGCATTCAAACAGACTGAATTTGGAAGGTTGTGTGAGGGTTCACAGCTGCCTGAATAGGAAAGCTCGGACACATGTTGGGTGCTGCCACAAGTTCAACAAAGCTGCAAATAAAAAGGCGTATACCATGGCAGTTTCCCCCCAAATCACACAGCTTGTTCGACAAAAAACATCCTTCGACGACCGAGAGACTGACCAACCAACCCAACCCAACCCAATCTAAGACAACCAAATCAAACCAAAGCGAAGCCATACCAAGCAGCCAAGAGCAGAAACCTAGCCAAGGAAACATTTCAGAACACCCATAACATTATTTTATTTTTGGCTTCTGGTTTTGGCTGTTCCGAGCTGGAAAGACTGAAAAGTGGCTTGCGACCCAAAGCAATCCAGAGTGGGCAGTATGACCACAAAGTCTGGACAAGGCCGGATTAGGACTTCTCCAAGGTCGTTGCCTCAGGCTTGCCCGCTGTACAGGTCAGCTACATTTGGACGAACGAACAAGCGGGGATACGGAGGGAGCGGGTCCCGATATGGGGGGATATGTCCCATATCAAATTTAGGTGCAGCAAACGGGGAATCCTCCCGTATCCCAGGTTCCCCTGGTATCCCTGCTAGTTGGTTTCCATGATACATCTAACACTTTTTGGATATGTCATTTATAAATCCCTGCACGCTCAGGCCTAAAAGTCGAAGGAAACGTGTGGCTGGGGACCGCCAAAGTCAAGTGACCAGGACCTTAGGCCTGTCAATTGGTTCCTTAAACGGCCCGAAGGCACTGGGAAGGTGCGAACTTCCTTTTAAGTGGGGAGAGGCAATTCTTGAAAAGGGCCCCAAGAAAGGTTGGCCTCGACCCTCCAAGCTAATGGGAGCATGGAGCTCGTTGCCTCGCGAAAAGGATGAGATATACCTTTGAGCCGAATCCACTAAGGCCGGCTCTTTTTCCAAGATGCCCTCAGGATACAAGGTGCATTCCCCACGGACACCGGTTGTCTATCTTTCTCTCTGCTGTTTCGGTCAGCTCGCCTTGCGTGTGCATGAGCACTGGCACCGGCGCCTGGCGTGCAGCATCCAAGGCACTGCTTGGAGGGAAAGAAATCCAAGACATGAATTGTTGGTTACAGGGAAACCATGAGAAACCATTTGGTCTAGGTGCGAAACGGAGTTCGTTCAGTATCGCTCGGTTGTCCAAAATTCGCCTGAACCCACCAATAGACCCCTTTTTGTCTGCCTTTCGGCCATTCTCGAAAAGTGTGGCTCTCTTTGATATCCCCTTCGGAAGACTGTCAAACCAGGAGCGATATGTTTGACAAGCTCGTGGAATGTGAAAATTCACGCGCAAACACAAACCGTTGCTTGATTTGGGGGCCCAAATTTCTGCAGATCTGAGCGTGCATGAAGTCGTGAACTTTGTTGCCCAGTGGCATCCTGCGTTGTTCCTAATTTGTCGGGAAGGCTGTCCCTTTAAAAACAACCAAGAAAGAAAAGGGTCCTTCTTTACATTGTCAACTGGGATCCTGAGATGGCAGCAAACAAATTTCAAGAGTTGTGGAGAAACAGAGGACACAGACAAGCAAAGGGACTCGTTGTTGCGCCTGGCTGATGCGCAACAGTATTGAGACGACCACAACCCGTGTGTCCTTGCGACTCGCCGGAAAACATAACAACAACACATGCTCATTCTGGTTGTTGAGGCGTGCCCATGTATGCCTGCCTGGAACTTATCACACCTTTCCGCCCCATGCACACTGAACGATTCTTGTTTTCTGAATGAAAAGCCGGGGCGGCTCCAAACCCGTGGGTGTTGCCTTTGTCTTTCCTTTAGGACACATTCTTAATTTTATCCAGAGCCTTGATTCCCCACAAGTCCCGCCCATGTTGAAGAACCAAAACAAATGCCGTTGGTATGCCGTTGGTATGCATTTCTTGGGTATCCCGTTGGCATCCCGTTGGCTTCCCGTGGTATTGTGCACCGAATTGGGCCTCCGCCTGGCTGTTAGTAAAAAGTCTTGTGACGTTGATTCATTCAGCTTCTATGTAGCATGGGTGGCAGTGTAAACATAAACTCGCGGGACATATATATATATATATACATTGATTTTTACTCTGTTGCCACTGCTAGTACCCAATCCCTTTCGCTCGCCCTTACGCCTGTTTTCGCGGCTCAGGGAGTGGAGCTTTTCTACGTGTCTGCGCGCGCTGCTGCTCCTCTGAACCTTCGGCCTATTTGATCTGGGCCAAAGAATAGGTTCACCTGGTGAGCCTAAAACAAGGATGGGCTATTCTGAAACTCCCATGAGAATCCCCCAAAATTATTTTCATCGGCTGGAAAACGAGTATGGGGCCGCCGCTCAAAAGGCTGCTCCAGTGAGCTCCCGTGAGAATTTCCTAAAGTGAGATCGGGGGCAGAATCCGCAAAACCTATTTTCATCACCTAGAAATGAGTTTGGGGGCGCCGCTCAAAACGCTATTCTGTCAGCGCGAACAGCTGTCCGTGAGAATTCCCGAAAATAATTTTCACCGGCTGGAAAATGAGATCCCCATTGTCGTCAGCTGGACAACGAGTTTGGGGCACCGCTCAAAATCCTACTCTGGTGAGCCCACACAGTTATTTTCATCGGGTTTGGGGCCACCGCTCGAAAGGCTATTCTACTAAACTTCCGTGAGAATTCCCATTTTCAATCGGCTGGAAAATGGGGGCCGCCGCTCAAAAGGCTATTCTGGTGAGCTCCTGTGAGAAGTCCCCAAAGTTATTTTCATTGGCTGGAAAGTGAGATCGGGAGCAAAAGCCCCAAAACCCACAGCGTCAGGCAATGCGTTCCAGCGACATGGTCACCTGCAACTGTGAGATACACAATTCTTGCTTTTTGCTTCAATAATATGTCTTGCTCTTTGACCGCGCCAACATGGCCTTTCCCAAGGGCAGGCGTTTTGGGAGGGGTGGTATGACCCTGGATGCGTTCATTCGGGGAAACAGCATGGCTGCAACAAATACCTCTTCCCCATGCGAACGGAGTCTCGAGCCCCGACAGCGTGAAGCACCGCTGCGTTCAGAGAACCCAGAAACTGGCGCGGATCAAGTCCTCAAGAGAAGAAGGAGTCCTACGGCCGGCGCAAAAGCATGTTTGTCGTGGAGCTTGTCGCGTCTGCGGTACTCGAAAAGCTCCTCTCGACCCTGTCCAATTTGACTTAGTCGTGCACCTTCCACTGAGGGGGTTGGTGAAAAACCTATTTTCAAGAGTTTGGTCTTAGACCGCAGCCCAGCTGCCAAGGTGGAAAAGTTTGAAGGAGTGAAAGCCATCCTGCCTGTTGTTCATCCATGTCAGAACCATGCTTGGCCAAGCCTCTGGCTGACAGTGCCCATGATTTGGTCAAGCTGGGTTGGTCAAGCCTTTGGCCCGCCCATGACTTCAACAGGCATGTGGCTAAGCATGCCGGCTCATAGCCTGGCAACTGCTGTTGCATTGCAAATATAGCAAGTGCCAAGATTTGGGTTTGTATTTCTTACGGGCGCGGGTAGGAAGGTTTGAGTGTGGGGTATGATTCGCGGGTATGATTCGGGGTATGATTCGGGGGTATGATTCGCTGAAGCAGCAGCAGCAGCAATAGTACTAGTCGCAGCAGTGGCAGTAGCAGTAGCAGGAGCACTGGCAGTAGTAGTGGTCATCGTACAGGTAGTAGTAGCTTCGTAGCGGTGGCAATATTCATCGTAACGGAGTCGTAGTGGTAGTAGTCATAGCAGTAGTAGTAGTAGTAGTAGTAGTAGTAGTAGTAGTAGTAGTAGTAGCAGTAGCAGTAGTAGTAGTAGTAGAGTAGTGGTAGTAGTAGTAGTAGTAGTAGTAGTAGTAGTGAAAGTAGTAGTGGTAGTAGTCGTAGTAGTAGTACTGGTAGTAGTACTGGTAGTAGTAGTGGTAGTAGTAGTCGTTCTTAGTAGTAGTAGTAGTAGTAGTAGTAGTAGTAGTAGTAGTAGTAGTAGTAGTAGTAGTACTAATAATAGTAGGTCGTAGCAGTAGAAGCAGCGGCAGTCGCACTAGTGGAAGCTAGCAGTAGCCGTGGAAGTAGTAGCAGTTGCAGTAGGTAGCAATAGTAGTAGTAGTAGTAGTAGTAGTAGTAGTAGTAGTAGTAGTAGTAGTAGTAGCAGTAGCAGTAGCAGTAGCAGTAGCAGTTGCAGTAGCAGTAGTAGTAGTAGTAGTAGTAGAAGTAGTAGTAGTAGTGGCAGTAGTGTTAGCAGAACAAGTAGCGGCTGTAGTGGCGCGGAAGGATTGAAAAGACTTGGGACTAGCCTTGGCAAGGGAAGCTCATTGTCGGGTATGATTCGCGAGTATAGTTACACAAACTCAGAATGATGAATGCAGTAGTAGTGCTACTACTACTACTACTACTACTACTACTACTACTACTACTACTACTACTACTATACTACTACTGCTACTGCTACTCCAACTACTACTACTACTACCACTGCTACTATCACCACCACTACTACTACTACTGCTGCTACTACTGCTACTACCGCTGCTACTACCGCTACTACTACTACTACGGCTACTACTACTACTACGACAACAACAACAACAACAACAACAACAACAACAACAACAACAACAACAACAACAACAACAACAACAACAACAACAACAACTGCCACTACTACCACCACTACTACTACATTCATCATTCTGAGTTTGTAATCAGTTCCGTTTTGCATCTTTCGTAGTGGGTAGCGCTGGTGGTGGTTGTTGCGGAGGCAGAACACAACACAAACGGTAGAAGAAAAGTAGCATCTTGCAGCATACGTTTTAAGCCGTATGATTCGGGGGTATGATTCGGGGAGGTCCCACCTTCTGCCAATTGAAGCAACGCCACACAACAAAAAAGACAAAGCCATTTATTTGACAATGTTTCAAATAAGGACCATCAGAAGAAACATGTTCATCATGTTCACATATGTCTGACAGCTCTGGCAGCACTGCCAGTGGCCGAGAGCCACCATGGTGCTACATGCCAGCCTCAAGAACACAGTCCAGGCCATCATGGATGACACTCACCAGGGCGACCATGCTCCCATCCAATCGGGGAGGTTCTGGAATGAACAGGGGGGCCATGCATGTGCGGAAGGTGCAGCCATAGTGAAATCTGGGGCATGAAAACCAATGTGCGTAACACATACCCCTCTCCCTTTCGCTCGCCCTTACGCCCTCTGTCGCGACCACAGTGTGGCAACGCTTTGTATTTCCACTGGGTTTGCTGTAGACTAAGCCTAGTTCCGTCGGTTTAGATCGACTCCCATATGTAGACATCTCCAAATAGTGTATATATATATAGAGATATAGACATATATCATATGTTATATATAATCTCTCTAATAAATCAATCAGTCGAAGGGCTTTGTGGGATGGCTGGTCCCGACCCAAGTAAATCTGGTGTCTGACTTTCCCAGTTGATCCATCTACCTGTATAGTAGGGAACCAAGGAAACCATCCTTTAAAAGCTAGAAAGGAAAATGGCTGGTTGCCTTCAGGGCTTCAGATGTCCAAATGCCCCACCTGTAGATTCGTCTTTAGAACTCCTGGTAGTTCTCGTCCATACATACCATGTTTTCCGCCCTAAATGCCTAAAACCTAAAACCCAAATGCCTAGGAACGCCATGTGCGAAAGTGCCAAGGAACCATCAAACGGCCCGCAACACGGCAGGCAACAGCCAGGCGAGCCGAATAGATGCCATCCACAGACAAGACATGGCCTTCAGAACTGGGCTGTCCGTTCTCAGATTCCGCTGCTAAAAGCGATTTTTTTTTTAGTGGGTGACATGGACATCCCGCCAACAAGACGAAAAAGATCTAAAAAGCTAAGGAACCGGATGGCTGGGAACCACCCAGTAGTCACAGAGGTGATGTCGCAAAGGATCTGTCAGGAACCAAATTGCATCTATTGGGCGTCGCAAAACATCAAGTTCGGCCCGCCCAAATATACCCACACAAGGACCGCAAGAAGCCACAACACCAAACAACGCGCAAACACCCTAAAAACCGGAACAAGTCATCAAATCGTTTCTCTGGAACCGTAGACCAAACGGCAACAAAGAAACAGATCGCAACTTGCATGGGCAGCCACAATGTGCTTGTCGGGCGTTCTCATAAGCTTGCATCATGCTGCCCAGCCTGCTGGCTCGCATGATTCAGCGCGTCGGGATGAGTGCACTGCCAGAAACGAAACTATACGCCCAAGTCGCCTAAATCGCTTTGAAGACTCGAACTCCTAGGACTGCCGTGACTTTTGAAGGTCCACGCCTTTTTGCTAACCCGGCGATCGATCCACGAAGCGGCTCACATCGATCTCGCCTGGGCCTGGACACTCTGGCTGCGCCGAACCTCCCGCACCTGCAGACGGCTCAGCGAGGGAGAATATTTTTCAAAGGGCGCCACCTCATAAGTGGGGGACATTGATCCCCAAATGATGTCCAAAGGGTCCCCCCGAAGAACAAAGCAAAAACCAACCCAAAGGGTTTGGGCAAACTGCCTGCTTGGAGATCCCGATGCCGAGGAATTCCTAGGCGTTCTGGTTCTCAAGGCGTTTTAGGCGCTTTAGGCGCCTTGCATTTTTTTGCGGGTGGTGGCCCCCTATTTGGGGGGGCGTTTTGCGGCAATTTGCGGGCGTGTCCTGTTTCAAGGCGTTTGGGGTAATTTGCCGGCGCTTGCATCCAAAACAGGGTCAATGCCGAGAATTACTAGGAATTCCTTGACGATTGAATCTCCTAAGATGTCTGTTTTGTTTTTTCTCGAGGGTGCGTACCCCTTCTCCCACTGAAGGACAACCTGGGAGGGTGGACCCATGCTCTTCTTCTTGATAAGAGACGATGCGGATTGCGAAGGACTGTACTTCCAGCGTGTGCTGCTTGATTCGGCCTTGGAAGTCCTAAGCGTCGGCTCGCAGATTGTCTGATATCCGTCTGCCCGGGATCGGTCGGGCTTGAAATACATAAACAAAAAAAACAAAAAACAGATGACTTGGCTGCTGTTGATCCCCCTGCAAAAAGTGTTTCACTTTTTGGGGGTTGAGTGGAAAACCCAACTTGATTTCAACCAAACAGTTCAAGTCTAAAGATCCAAACCAGCAGTCAAGATGATGTCCAGTTGGGTCTCCCCCACACCACACGAAGCCCACCGCCTGCGCCTGGAAAGGCTGCATGCGGAGGGATCCGCTTTGAGGCCTGCGGGAAACCGTGGAAGCGGAGCCCAGGTGGATTCATAGTCCCTGGGATTCATCAAGTCTCCCATGCCCAGTGGATTTCCATGGGAAAAAAAGGGCACCCGTTTTTTTGGTTGGTTGAGTTTAAAGGGGAACCCTTACCACATGTTGTTTTTTTTAGAAAAATAAAAAAGGGCACCACTGGGCAACAGAGAAGTGGTTCTATAGGGCGGTGCTCCCTGAAGTGGTCTACATCCACGAGAACACACCCCATCTCTCAAAATCAACCAGGTTAGTAGTCGGGGGTCAACATTACCCAAAGCATGGAATCCGGAAGCCCCCCCCCCCAAACAAAAATCCGCTCCAGCTCATTTAGGAGGGGCCAGGACCCTGGACCCGTTCCTGTACCGAAATGGGCCAGACTCCACAGAAAATGGAACTGTGAAAGTCCATTGCCCCCATGGGTGTGTCTCAGGACTCTAAATGGAGACACCCGTTTGGATGGTCTTGGAGGAATGAATCCGGGCTTGAAGGAAACTAAGCCCCGAATGGGCGGATCGCTTGCTGAATTCAAATGGAGGCTCGGTGGTTGCCATCAAAACAACGCCATTCGACGGATAAGCCCCCTTCAACAGGGATTCTTACATTATACACCTGAACATTGCAACTTGTAAATGGTGTGGTCCCTTTATTTTGCTGGAAAAGGCCATGTTTCAGATGGGGAAAATGTATCTTGTAAGGAGCCCCCTTCAATTTCACGCAATTCTTGCCCGCCGACACCCCAGGTCCGAAGAACGCGGGGCTCAGTCACATATGAGTCATATGAGACGTCGAATGCCACGATCGCATCAGCTTTAAGTGGGGCAATGTTGACCCCAGATGAGTGTACCGGTCTATAAGTCGGTTTCCCTCCAAAAGTGATGGACCCCCAATACAAGGCGACACCCTCTATTGATCAAACAGGGGTTCGTTAATCTGGGGGTAGCCCTTAACTGAGTAACCACTTCCAAATGCTTTTTGTCGGTGAGTTCCGCATGTCATCCCCCTTGGACCCCGAAGATCACCTTGTGCTTCCATCAGGATTCCCTTGTCCCCAAACATCAGCACAACCAAGGGAAACTCATTAGACAGAGGGGCCAAACAAATGCGAATGAGAATGATGTATTCACCAAGGCCATCGCAGACTCTGAAAAATGAACCGCTTGGCATGGCTTCCATGGACGAGTCTGCAACAAGCTTATACTCCCGGCACACGATTCGTCATCTGCGGCCCATCTGTCCGGGTCACCCACCCACGAAACTCCTCAGAGGTGAAGAAGCCAGAAGCAGGCAACATATAGATTGACAAGCACTGGGTCCATTTTAGAACAAAAGCCTCAGAATCACTCTATCTCTCTAAATTGCCAAGGGGAAACCAGGCCCACATGTAAATTCGAGAGCCCCTCAAAGTGTAATCACTGAAAGGGACCCAGCAGAAGACACGCCCCGCTCCCCCGCCCTCCCCCTGGAGGCAGCGGCTCGTGCATGATGGAAGAAACTCGGCCTCGGGCCAATTCATGTTCAGAAACTGAATCAGTGTCAGGGGAAGCCCCTCCATTTCACCACCAAACTACCAATCCAAACCACCAATTAGAGGGAAGCTGACGACAACGGCAAACACAGACAAGCCAGAAACCGAGAGAAAGAGAAACAAAGAACACAGATTAATTTATGAAACGAAGACGAAGAAAAAACAGTAAAAAGAAAAGCAAGCCCGCACCCACCAATGCGTACACTCCACAAACAAATGAATATCCGCCCCGAATCCAGAAGCCACTCGGCAGCATCGGTTCTGTTGGATGCCGGCTCCCTTTCGGATTACTTGTGCACATCCAAGCTTCGAATGGGTTTCTCATATCTGGGCCAAACGGATCGGTCCGACCTGCAAAAAGTGAACGTGGAAACATGAAGGAAGCCAAAAAGGCAAAAACACAACGCGGGGTTGCGCAGGACAAAGCGTCACAAGTGCAAATCTTGTGTGCGGACAGCTTAGATTTCCCTCAGGCAGTGGACGTATACTGCATGGCGCAAATGAGCCGTGCCAAGCGCTTCTTCAAAACAATCAGACATGGCTTCCTCTTGACTCCCCTTGAGCCATCCAAAGATCCAGTCGCTTGACCCTGCATTCTCAGTTGAAGGTCTAGCCGATTGTGCGAAGACCTGGACCCGACGATTCAAACATGCATGACAGTGACCTCCAGGCCAAGGTCGGTTTGCAATCCAAACCCAAAAAAAACAAACCCAAATTTCAAAGCCTCAAGCAAACCAAAAGCAGCCACAAAAAGGGAACCACTGCTTTGCATCCTCCAAACCAAAAACCGAATCCCAAAAAAGCCGAACCCCAAAAAGCCAACGCCCCCACCGGCGCCTAGATTTCCTATCTCGGGGCCCGGCGCTTCATGGGCGAGGTGGTGCTTGCGACCTGAAAAAAAACTGAACGGCTCGGCTGCCGCTTCGGATGGGCCGAAACTCATTGGAGTCCTCATGAAAACCCCGGCTCCCAGAGGGTCCCTTGGTGTCCAAAGGGGTCGTTCAGTACGTCCTTCGAAGTACTTGGACCCTCTGGGGCTGCAAGGTATTTAAATGGTCGACCCGCCATGTAAATCTGCGACCCGGTATTGAGGAATTAACATGGTCGTAATCCCAGAACCATCGTGTGAAGAATTCCCATGCGGTGTAGGCACCCATTTATGGCTGGGATTGTCCGTTACCCTCCAATCATCCGGGTCTTGAGAGTGACTTATTTGCTCAACTTGAGAGGCGGGTGAACGAAAGCTAGCCCAGCCATCCCAGCAACGACATGTACGACTCTGGAGTTGCTAAGACAATAAGACTCGCAATCCCAAGCAAACGTCTAGAAATGTCTAGAAAGACAGATTTCCCAGCTGCAAACGCTGCAAACATGTGGGCGAGATTGTGGGAAGACGCTCGTGGGAGCGGGACAGGGAGGCATCGTGGGAAGCTCAGCCCCCAGAAGCTAAAGCTCAGAGAACTCCCGCGAGCACTGCCAGGTTTCGGATCGGGGGCTTCCCCAAAAGGAACGTCGTAGCCTTCCAAACGTGATCGTCGGCTTCCATGATTGGAGGGAGGGGACAAGCGCGTTCAATCATGAAATTCTATTCTGACCCAGAACTTGTTGGTGGCAAACTACTTTATTTGCCGAAGAAAAGGGCATGACTAGAGAGTTTCAACAAATACCCACCGTCCCCGTAGTGAAACAGCGCATCACAGCAGATCACCTCAAGAGATGCCTGTCAGCTGCCAACTCCCTCGCTACATGGTGGTTCCAAGGGAATCCACCATGACAAACCCCTGCTAAGCTAAGAACGGCGCTGTGAGAGTGCATGGTTGTTTCGCAGAGTGTTTTATTGCGAGGTCCGAAGTCCTAAGAGAAACATGCAACATCCAAAGCAGGGAGTCCCCTGCTCCAAGTCTGCCAATGAGGAGCGCCCTTTCGAATGTCTTGACAAAAAAAAAAAAAAGAAACGACGCCAACCACCGGAACATTACTCACATGGGTATGTGGTTTGTGTAGAAAAATTGTGCGGCGAAGGCAGCCTATGGTTGGGACTATCCCTCAAGCTTCAACCACCCGGGTTTTCAGCAGGTGGCCCAATCCCCCAAACTCGCTCGTGCTGAGCAGGGAATGAGAAATGGAATGACGCAAATATCAACCATCCAACTGGTTTGCAAATCCCGGGGTTCACTCCACTTCTCATTCCCTATCGCACCCGCAAGAAAAGGGGGTGGCTTTTTAGAAGGAAACGCACCCCGTCCGCAGGTTTCGTCTTCGTTTGACTCTGAGCTCGGGGCTCCAGCCGGCGGAGTGCCCGAGGAGTAGCGCCTGAAGGTGTCACGAAGGAAGGTAAGTCCAGCTTGTGGCAACCCTGCTAAAGACTCGGTTGCTTTCTGCTCCCCGGCTAAAAGTTTTATTTAAACAAAACACAACTATTTAGTGGTTTAATGGAAAACGCATGAGTTGGCAAAAAGTTGAAGCCCTAACATCCCAGCAAAATGGACCAAAGTAAAAGTTGAACTTGTGGGTTGGATCCCCAGCTACAAGTGACGAACTTGTGGGTCTTAAATGGAAACTACCACTAAACCAACAGCTAAGGAGCCGGAGGTCCTCCCCACCCGCCCCCCACCTCCCACCCCATCCGACCCCACCCCCCGGCACCGACCGCACAGAGAGCCCGAGGCTTCGGCGCAGCTCGCAGGAACTGCGGCGCAGGCGCACCTGGCTCGGTGGAGCGCTGGGCCGCTTTTTCGACCATGGAATTACGCATGAAAAAAGCTGAAAGCCACTTACTCTGAGCTAAATTGTCTGTGTTAACTACCCACTGCAGCTGGAAACAAGCTGAATGCCAGCTGAATCGGTGATCTCTGAAAAACTAGATGTTTGTGTGAGTTTCCCCAAATGAGGCGGAGTTGGCCGCCGCGGAGTGGTTGTGGCGCCACTTACTGAAGGCTTCTTGGGCGCGAAGCTCGGAGCTTAAGCTTCGCCGTGTGAGCCAGGGCCCAACTTGGGGGGGGGAACAAATTGGACAACTTTAACCCGCCACCGCGATGGTCCCATGCAGATTTACTCAGCGGCAATTGAAAAATAATAAAAACCAGTTGGGGGGCTGAGGGATCGTTGAGATCACCCCTTCAAATCAAACTATTAAAGTGGAATCGCAAGGGATCATTTGGGTACCCCCTTTCCAGTGACAAAACTCCGCACAAAATACCTGGTGCATGGGGTCTTCCCGAGCCCCGCCTGCGAGCAAGAGTCTGCGCACTTGGTCGCGTTTTGACGACGTGTGCACGCAATCCAACCCACCAAATTTGAGCGGCTGCCCCTACGTTAAATCTTCCCCGACGCACAAAAAGAAGAATCAAACAAACAACCTGGACCTTCAAACTCCGGGAAATTTCTGGGTGTTTCAGGAGACCCCTACGATTTACCGAATTCCAGTGGTTTGGCTACAATTTGGGCAAAAACACATACGAATTGCGTCGTTTCCAGTCGTGCATTGGCCATACAAAGTAAATACACCTCGCAGCACTTGCCAACGTGCCAGTGAACCGCATGGGATGCCTTGATCATCAAAACTACGACTTTGTCTGATTTGCGGGAGGTTGCGGGTTTTTGCGGGAGATTTGCGGAAATTTGCGGGCGTTTTGCGGTCAAAATGGGTACGCTTTTTCTGCACTGCACAACTTTGGACCGCCATTGCATGTGTTGACAAACTTTCGGGCTGCTTTAAGTTGTTTACCCTGCAAAGCTTCTTTTAACCTGTCAAAGGCCGTGAGCATTGCAATAGTGTGTTTTTTAGGAGTTTTAGGAGTTTCAGGTTTTTGCGGCAAAAAGTGCTACGATTTCCCGAATATCCAGTCAAAGGCGGAAACTACGTTTTTTTTTTTTCAGGAGGACGAAGATCCAGTTGAGGGTGTCTCTTTTTGGCTGCTTCAAAAGGAAACCGAAGGCGGCGAGCGCCCATTTTTGGGGCTCCGTTCGGAGACAAAGGCCAAAAAGTGAATCGCTTGGTTGAAGGGGAATATTCCTTCTCCAAGTTACACAAAGGTCGCACCTGGGAAAAAAGAAAAAGTAACTAGGCCAGCACATTTCCGCGCCCATTGTCTTGGTCACTGGCAAAAGGAAACCGAAGGCGCTGGGGCCCCGCGCCGTAGCCCATGCCCACGGGTTGTGGCGCCGGCGATGACACCGATGGCCCTGGCGATGCCTCAAGCTGAGAGCATGAGGTTCTCAGAATGGGACCCTAAAAAATGAATGGTTTCCTTGCGGTTTCCCTTCAAAAAACCCAAGCAGGGTTCGAAAATAATTGGCTTCTGTTTGGTGTATCTTCTTGCCTGGTGGAAAACAAAGGGAACCCCGAAAAAAGCAAAAAAAGCAAAAAAGGGGAGCTAATTATGGTAAAGAGAATGGGAACGTGAAATGATTGCCCTCTTCAAATACTCGCCAAAAGGAGGGTCCGACAATGATTGGTTTCCTTCCGGTTTCCCTTCAAATACCAACCCAAAGGGTTCGAAAATCATTGGTTTCAGTTTGGTGTCCCTTTATATACTCGCTAAAAGGAGGGTCTGCAAATAATTGGTTTCAGTTTGGCTTCCCTTCAAATAGCAACCAAAAGGAGGGTCCGAAAATGATGGTTTCGCTTTTGGTTTCGATTCTTCAAAATGGGCAAGGCCATAATTGACGAAGGACTGTGTCTGACATAGGCTCATACCAGAGCTCGATTGACCCATGCCAAAATCGCAGAAGGTTCCTTTTGGTTTCTCCTTTACCAAGCAAACGGAGGGTCCGGATCCCATTTTTTGAAAGAACATGTATTAATGAATCAGAACCGTTTCCGAGACCCTTCAGGCGCACGCGTGAAATGAGATACCCATCCTGCCAGTCGGCAAGGGCGTCCTCCGGGTGGGGTCGCGCGCCGTCAGCGGTAACGATAAGTCACTGAGAGAGCCAGCAAGGCGCCATGGAAAACACTTAGGTCATGGCATCGAGGGACCATTGAGAAGCATCAAGGGGTCATTGAAACCAGGGCCATTGAGAGGGGCCATATGCCTGTGAGCCCAGACCAAGCTACTAACTGTCTCCCCACGAGATGGAAAACATGGGGCCTGGTCTTTCTCCCTTTTGGTGGTTAAACAAATCCAGCAACTCGAACTGACTGAGCGCAGCACAAGCCAGCCCTGCCTGAGAGCGAGGTGTGGCAACACCAGAAGGTTTCTGGCAAGCGCTTTCCGTGTCCAGTTGGTTCCGTTTGGCTTCTGTGTGTGTGTGTGTGTTTTGTTTCCTTTGTTTCTGCCTGGTTTCTGTTTGGCTTCCATTTGGTGTCAGGATCCCCAGGATGTTTGCTTCCTGCTTGTCGGCAGCCCTTTTCCTGCGTGTTGTGTCCCCCAATTTCCAATGTGGTGCAAATGTCCAAGCCACGTCCAACAGGCGCGGTGCAAAGGTAGAAGGGTTTTAACTGATGGCTTACTGTCGTGGTTGGACTCCTGCAAAGCCCTCCCTGAAAGCTCATGGAATTGCCGCCTCGACAGTGGTGGGAAATTCAATGGAACCTGGGGATGGATGAAATTGAATGGAACCCAGGGATGGATGACACGGAACAACCAGAACGCACCCTTCATACAAGGCATCACAACTTGTTTGGTTCAATGACAGCAGATCGCGTGCCCAAAGAAAAGGGGTGACCCCGACAACTATTTTGAGCCTGCAACAAAGCGCATGCTCACAGGGTTGCCCGACATGACAAGCACATCTCAGTATAGCTGCCTGCCAGGTTACCATGTTGGCAAAGCACTAGCTACTGAGTGTCAGCTGATCCATTTGAAGAATGTCATGAACAAGCATGTGGGTATGTGTTGTTTGGTTGTACCCTTTTCGGGGCTGTGTTCAGAGACGCCTGTACGACACTGCTCATTGATTGCGTGGGGTGGACGCGTGAAGCAGTCACAGAGTGGCAGGTAAGGCAGGTAAGGCACAACTCAACAGGCCTGGCGCGCAACCCATGCAAATGGTACCTCCGGTTCGAATTTTTGAGGCTTCAGATGGACGGGGGAATATCCTAAGATGAATCACTCCAGACCTTGCTGGCCTTGGATCTGCATACTCAGCTGTTTGGAACCTAAATTACAAGGAATCTGATGCTCTGGTGTCTCATGCAAAGAGATGCAAAGACTTGTCATAGGAGTCGCAGGACAAAAAATCGGGCTCGATGCTGAGGGTCGAAACCATATTCGCCGAGCTCTGGTACCCACACAACTAGCTCCAGCTTCAGAAAACAATAAAACCCAGCTGGCTTCAGCTTCTTGTCTATACTCCTTTCTGCAAATGTCTCGAAGGGGTAACTTCCCCACAGATCCTTCTTTGCGGACCGGCAGAACCAACCAGAAAAGGTCAACGAATAATTACCCATGGCTCAACAGCGTGGGGAATCACTCGAAAGACGCCAAATCAACAGTTTTCTGCGAAAAAAGCAGGTGGTGTCCTTTGATTGGTTGAGCTACAAACCGCTTTTTCTTGGCCCACATCTGAAGCGTTCTTCACACATATTCAGATTCAGATTCATACTTACTCTAATGTTGATCCCTATTTACAAATCTGGGGGTATTCCCCGCCAAAAGTGAATCCCTACTCAAACCAGGGACACCCCTATACTCATGGTCAACGTTACCCTTAAACATGAAATCGCTCGAAGCAGACCCCGACCCCAGTCTCGGGGTTCGAAACGTCCCTGACGGTTTTCCTGCCAAGCTGCGACGGCCCGGGGCCTGGCCGCCGGAACTGCTTGAGAATGCTGAAAATCGTCCGAGGCATCAACTTCGTGGTTGTTCTGGGGGCTCTTGTTTTTTTTGTTTCCATCAAAAACAACTCCAAATCACAACGTTGTATTTTGGTTCTAGGAGTTAGGCCCAGGGGGGGGCTTACAGATCGGGTCTGCTGACCCCCTTTGTTTTGATCTCCCTCTTTCTTTGCAACCCCTGCCCCTTTGTTTTGACCCCCCTCTGTCTTTTCAACCCGTACATGTTTCTTGTCCGACCAACACCTGGCTTGCCTGGATCCATGTGTCCCATGTATTATAGCTATGAAGACCCAGGTTTTTTGTTGACTCCCAACCCATCGGTTTTCGGGACCAACCAATGGTGAAATGGAGCTCAAGAAAACAGTTTGGGGTCCCCATTGTTAAATGGCGGGAAACCATGTAGGGGGGTTCTGGCAGGGATATCTCCGGGTTGCCAACTTTGACAAACTCTCAATCCGAGCAATATACTCAGTTTCTCAAAGGATCCAGAAAAAAAGTTGAGCCTGTTGGGGCCAGGACTAAAAATAGTTGCCAAAAAGGGAAAACTAAAAGGTTAGATCAGGTCTATTCGGAAGATTCGTCTTCTGCTTTCCAAGGCTTTGAATGTGCCAAGTCAACCTCCGTTTTGGTCGGACAAACAGGGGGACCGCATGGGTCCCCACCCGCTTTGCGCCAGCCGGGGGCGGGGAAGGCCAAGGGAACACCTTCCGAAATGCAGAGCAAAAATAGCAAATGTCGAACAACGTAAGGATGTCAGCAACCACCCAGGTCCCGGCGGCTTGGACGTAGGGTTCTGCAAGGAAAATCAAGGTCATTTGACTAAGCATGAATGCCAGTCTTGCAAATGTCAGTTGTGTATATGATCATGCTGTCCTCAATGCCGTGCGTTTAATACTGCCCTCCAAAACGGGCGCTGAAACTAAAACTCCGTCCACGCACCCACTTACATGGGGGGTAGCCGGTTAGCTCAGTCACTCCAAAGTGTTCACTTCTTCCGAAGCCCAGCGGAAAGGGAACAAGGCGCCTCTTGTTGGTCGCGTTTGAAGGGAAACCCTTCCCAACGAAAAGAACATACAACCGGTGCCACTCAGGGACAGCCACTAAGCTCACGGGCCCCAGAGTGTAGAGACAGCTGCACAAACAAACCCCACACACACAAGAACATGCAGGTGAAAGGCAAACAATCCACGTAAGCAGCATCCACGTTCTTCTTCTTGTGTTGCAACAACGTGTCACAATGTCTTGGATCCCTGCTGTTGCAAAAACATTAATTACAGTGCTTGCCCGGGACATGTTTCGCCGACACCAAGATTAAAGCAACCTGGCACCCCATATGGCTGCTTGTTTTTTCTTTCAACTCCCGTAGTTGACCGTATTTGCCCGTATGGCCATGTTTGTTTTGTTTTTCTTGTTCTTTTTTTCCGGTCATTTGCGTAATTCACCCGTATGAAACCCATATTATTTTCGACATGTTGTTGAAAACAAGCCGTAAGTTTCCGTATGGCATTTTTTTTCGGTCAAAGGCGTATGACCTAAACAAAACATGGCCATATGGGGTCCCCGGAAACAAACAGCCGCTTGTTCTGGCTTCCCGCCTATGGCACTGGGCGTCCCGCGGCATGAATTGCCTAAGTCTCGTTCTCTGGCGTCCTGTCCGCCTTGAAACAACCACTAGAATGCTCTTGCTCATAATGCAACCCAATGCAACCTGAATCCTAACCTGCAACCCTGCAAACTTGCTCTTGACCCTGCTCTGAGTTGCCACTACTTAAATCTGGGTGCTCTCCTTTACGTCTGGCTTTGATAGATTTGTCACCTTTTGCAACCGGGGATGCCAACAGTGGTGCCCTACGGGTCTCGAGCAACTTTCCTAAATGCTGATTATTCCACACAAGAATGCAGCACGGAAAAGCATCGAATTCCAAAGCGGGCTAGTCATCTTGCATCTTCAATCTTCCACTATGCGACTGTACCCGGGATCGAAACACAACGTGCGCTAAGCCAACGAGGCAACCAAAGGATATGCCCAATAATCCCCTTGCAGGATGGCTGCATCCAAGGGTGGTTGGTCCCCCCCACTCATTTGTGCCCGAGGGGATATCCAAAGTGCGAGGAATATGGTTGGAACCAATCCCAGAAAGGCAAGGTCGGTCGATGCGTCTTCCAAGGCAAGCTATTGGGTCAACCACCCAGCCAGTATCTATCCACGGGTGTGCTCCTCCTAGAAAACAGACACCACGTTCTTGACACTCAAATGACATCCAGCCGAAGCTTGTGTGTTCAGACTGGGAAACTCTGCCTGCTCCTGTATTGCTACACCCTCTCGAAAAGTGGGCTGGAACCTCTCAAGGGATTGAAGACTTGTTTTCTGTCAAACCTGGGCCATGTTTACCCCTCATTAACCACCCCCGGTATTACTAAAGGGGACCCTGTTCTGTGTGGATGTTGGTCCTTCTGATTCACTCTTCGAGGCTGTATTGAGGAAGGCTCAGCATTGCCCGCGAATAGTTGGGGACGCTTTCGCAGCTGTAGCGAGCCTGGCTTAAGCTCTTACCGTCTTGGCGCACACCCCGCATGAAACTTTCGGGGGAATCTATGCGAGTTTTCTTTGGCAGGCTTGCTCAAGGCAGGCCCACAAAGAAGGGGGAAGTAAACCGCACAAACAGAGGGGGGGCTATATACCTCTCTCGCTCTCTATCTGTCTCTGTCTCTGTCTCCTGCTCTCTCTCTCTCTCTCTCTCTCTCTCTGTTTCTCTGTAGGGGGGGTGCATAAACCAACCCCCAAGAGGTAGGGTAAGCCTCAAACCTGCCTTAAGCGCGCATCGAGGCCAAGACTTGTGCGCGGGTCGGTCACCTGACAGCACTCAAGGGAAGCTTTCCTCGGCAGCAGTTCAGACATCTGAACTAAGGGATGCCAAGATCCCCAAAAGGATCTACATGGGTGTATCTTTGCTTAGGCTCCAGGTGGTGTTCCTTTTGGTTTCCCCATACAACCACCAAAAAGGGCCCCTAAGACTCAGCCATCTGAATCGGTGAGACCCTTTCCCCCGGATCGGTGAGCTCATACAATCAGCAGAGGCACCTCAACGAATTCATGGACCTAGGGAGGCAATGAGGTGTCTACTCCCAAGAGGTCAAGTGGAAGGCTTCCTAAGGGATTGAAAGGCGATAGCCCCCCCTAGATCCTTGACCAGTGTTGGACCCTGTGGGGACTCTTGTTTCCAAGATTGAAGCTATGTAAGCAGTGCTCAATCAGCGGTTTTCAGATGCCCTGATAAAAATCGAAAACATTTCGTGGGTTAAATGGAAACCCAACCACTCAACCAACTAAACAAGACAAAACCTAAGGAACCGGATGGAAATGGAAACCCGACCACTAAACGATGGGTTCATACCAGGGAGTTCCATACTCGTTCAGGCATTCGCCTGCGGATATGTTGACTGGCCCTGCCTGCTTTTCTGACCGGAACACCAAAAAATTCCCTGCCCATCACCTTCGTGTTTGTGGTTTGGAGCCCGGTTTGGATTGCTCCGGGTTCCCCCAGAGGTGCAAATCCAAATTCGAACAATAAACTACCAAAGGGTTACCTGAAATGAAGTGCTCCAGTTCAGAAGCACGGGGTACTTCAGGTGAAGGACAGCTGGTGCACAAAGTACGGCCGAGCCGATCATCTCGCAGGTCAGGCTCAGGTGCAAGAAAGTTAGCGCAAGCAATATCCCCTCTGGAAAACAAGGTGGTCTCGTGGGCAATAATCAATCCCAGGAGACATCAAAAGCGTGTCTGACCTCCGAGAGACCCTGTCACATTGCAACGATGCACATTGTGCGTCCGAAGGAAAAAAGAAAAACATCAATGCCGATTCTGAAGGATAAACATCAAACCGCTCATGCGCAAACACGTTATTCAATGTCCAGCGGAATCAAGCAGGTTTTTATAAGCGGGTCGGTCACGGATTGAGACAGTCATCAAACAGACAAGGTTGGCGAAGGTTGGCCCCCAACTAAATTATGGCAGACTCGTCCGAGCAATGAAGCACTTATATCACTTGTACGTGTTATGTCATTGGAAGGTATTTGAAAGTACAAAGCGGCCCGACGCGGTCTAAACTCTGGGGGTTGATTCCCCGTTGTTTTCAATGATTGCTCTTTTTCCCGAAAGCATGGCGAAGGGTTCTTCCGCTGGGCTCACTTGAGTTGTTCTCATGAGAGTCCTTACAAGGTGTCATTGCAAGGAATCATCATCATGAAAGTCATTGGAAGGAGTCATTGCAAGGAGTCATTGCAAGGAGTCATTGCAAGGAGTCATTGCAAGAAGTCATTGCAAGGAGTGATTGCAAGGAGTCATTGCAAGGAGTCATTGCAAGGAGTCATGGCAAGGAGTCATTGCAAGGAGTCATGGCAAGGAGTCATGGCAAGGAGTCATTGCAAGGAGTCATTGCAAGGAGTCATTGCAAGGAGTCATTGCAAGGAGTCATGGCAAGGAGTCATTGCAAGGAGTCATTGCAAGGAGTCATTGCAAGGAGTCATTGCAAGGAGTCATGGCAAGGATTGCAACTTGCACTTGACTCCTTGCACTTGCAACTT